TCCTCCTCCTTCCTTTTTTTTGTTAGTTTTTTCATAGGTTTTTTCGTACAAAACAAAATGGCATCTTTTTGGTATTGGAAGAAAAAATACAGTTTTCAACCTCTTTCTTTCTTTCTATCTTTCTTCTTCTTCTCTTCTCCCGCCTCGTTCGTGCATCGCGTCATCAAAACTTGCCCTGATCGACACTAAAGTCCTAATCCTCGATTCCTTTCCTCTCTCTTCCGTCCACCTTCCGAAAGCAAAAAAGTTACAAAAATTGGCAATAAACTCTATCGCGTGCGTCTCGTTCATATTCATCCGGCTCTGGCCACACACGACAATCATAGAGTAAAACGGCTAGCGATCCCTCTCGTTACGCCTTATTTATTATCGCATTAATACTATTTTGGCATCGTGACGATACAATTTCATACTCTATACAAAAAGAACAGCAAACGACAACCAGCCGATTTCTCCTTCTCCATTCTCATTCTCTGTTTCGTACTTTCGTTTACCGATTTGCAAGTGGAAGTTCGACCGGTTCGTGGTGCGATTTTCATCCATGTATTCCATTCTTTTCTTTTTCTTTTTCCCCCTTTAATTTATTTCGCAAAAATCCCGCAACGAAACCTGTTCTCCCTTTCCATTTTTCTTTCCTTTTTCCCATTTTCTTTTTTCCCTTTCGAGCATTCCGCACGTCTTGTGCACGCACGCAACTGAGCATCATTCGGAAGTTGACGAGAGAAGTACCTTGCCTGCGTGTCTTGCGCGGACCGTTCCAGGCGGATCCATGGATCGCGATCGAGGAAAGAAACGTGTGCGAATGTGAAAGGAACAGGAGCGTGTCGAACGACGGTTACTCCGTGGCTGACGAACGTTGATAATTTGATAAAAGATCGATCGCACTTTCGGCGTTTCTAAAATTAAAACGGAAGTAAGATCGACGGTAAAAATCGAATATAAAAGATCGAAGTAAAAACGATTCGAAGAACAATGATTCTTAATTTCATTATCTTTAAAATTCCTCTAATTTTACCATATCTAATTCACCAGATTAAAAAGAGTACGGATAATTGTCAACAATAGATTTGCATTATTGTCGGTCAATAATAAAAATAGATTCATATAAAATCGATAGATCATGATCAGATTGGTAATAAATCTCGATAAAAACCACTCGAAAAAGTTCTCCCATAAAAGTTTCGATTCTTAAACTCGTCAGACATCTTTTTCTTGTCTAATTATTTTCCTGATTTCATCTCGCGCGGTATCACTTCCGGTCTCGTTGCAATTTCCGACAGTTTCCGATATATTTCTACGAGAGATCGTCGAATTTAATCGAATCGTCGCACAAGCGCTCGAAAGCATCGGAGAACCATCTCAACGATGAAATCGGGCGCGAACAGTCCTCGAGGTGGATGAAACGCGGATGAACCGGAAGTCGTCGACGAGGAATGTTCACGCGCGTGCAGACATGTTCATCGCTGGCAAATCGTTCGCAAGAAACAAGAAGAGTGTTGGCGATCGAAACGTTTGCTTGCAAGAAGAAAGAAATGGATGACGAACCTGGCTTGTGTTTTCTCATAGAACGATCCTTCAAAGTGGTTAAAAAAATAGAAACGCGTATCTGCGACTTCAGTAGCGAATTTTTATTTCTTTCATTTTCTCTCTCTTTCTTTTTCTGTCCTTTTTCTTTGTTTCCCTTTTGCCTATGACGTTTAATTGACTGGTTGAGATCGACACTTAGCCTCGGGGAACCTAATCGAAAAAATGGTACCTTGTCTAATCGAAAAATAGCCATCACCGACGATCACTCGTCGATACTTTATCTTTTCTTCTCCCATTTTTTTTTTTTTTCTTTTAATTCTCCTATTCGATATCTTCGCTTTAGAACCTAGGGATATTCCGGAGTCGCGCGTTAAAACGGAGGAACGATCACGCTCTTGGCGAATAATGTTCGTCGTAAGGGTAAAACGAAGGACGATACCGAAAATAAAAAAAAGAGAAACGATCGATTAAGGAGAGAAAAGAAAAGGAAAGAAACAGAAGGGTCGACTAGCGTTTAATAGAGACGCGAGCTTGTTATCGACGCGGTCGTTCGCGCTCATGCGAAACAATCTTCTTTTTCCTTTTTTTTTTTTCACAAAAAGACAGAGAGAATACAAGCGAGAAAAGAAGTACAAAAAGAAGAGAAACAGAAGAGAAAAAGATCGGTGAGCACTCTCAAACTCGATCGTTCAGTGTCACGGAAGAGAAAGTTAAAAAAAAAAAAAAAGAAAGAGAAAAAGACGAGGAAAGAAACTAGAAAAGAATAGAGAGGAACAGACAAGAAGAAAAAAAGAAGGGAAGATAGAACAGCTAAAAAGTATAATAAAAATACAATAGAACAACGCGTTTTGTCAAAACTTAATAAATAATCGATTAAATTAGATTATATTACTAATTATTACTGTTTGCCGCTATTAATTATTATTACTACTACATTATGATAATAATGAATGATAATATATTAATGATTCTTATAATACTCCGATGGGCGAGGGTTGGACGCGTCTTTTCACCTCCCTTACTCCTATAATAGCGCCTCTCTGTCGATCATCGTTACGATCCATCGACCTCGAACAACCACGAGTTCCCCCTCTCCTTCGATCCTCTTCTCGACTCCACCCTACGCGCACGCGAATCGCGAATCGCGAGGATCGTGCTTTCGGTCTCCGGTGCTTCGTCTTCCCGGCTAGCGTGGTCTTGCGTCGAAACTTCGAAAGGCAATATAAAGACCGATCGATCGGTTGACCGTTTACTCGCGAACCAATTATAAACGAATTAACACGATCATGATTATTATTCGTCATTCGTATCATCGAGTAAAATAAACGCACTCGACTTCGCTATTTCTCTGAATCTTTACAATTGGAAAGATCTCCGTCTCCATCCTAACCTCAACTCTTCTCTACTCCCGCTCGTACGATAACACGACTTTGCGTCGTTCTTTTGATTTTCGTATCGATCCATCGATCGAGCCACGAACAATCGACGGACAAGTTGAAACAACATGATCGAAGGAAAAGCAGCGGGTCTAGCCGGAAGTGGCGATGGACGTTTCGAGGTAGCTACGCCAGTCGTAGCTGGTCTATATACGGAAAAACAGGGATCGGTTCGAACGACGCGTACGATTAAACACGGATTCTCGTATTCGTTTTCTTTTCTTTCTTTTTTTGTTTGGCTATCTGACTCGCCTTCGAACACTGGCACTTGTTGCTTTAACGTCGAACCTCGCCGGCTGGCCGCTGTGATTTACCGCGAAACTTCTACATTTCTGTGCGCGCGTGTCTTGCCCGTTCGGGAGAGTCACCTCTCGAAGGGCTCGATATATCAGGATCCCCGGTATCCGTGGATTTGATCGTGGAACGGGGACCGCGATTATAGACTCTAAAGGGCTTGGAGAATGAATAGAAAAGAAACAGTCGGAAGAACGTAGCTGACGAAGAAGACGGCACCACGACGACTGACGCGTTTCCTTCTCGCTCACAGTTCGATATTCTAATTAAAAGTTATCTCACGAGCACTCGTGTGTGATGTGTATATGCGTGTGTTTGTACTGAACCGACCCGAGAATTGATATTGGATATAATATTACAGCAATTCGAATCGCGTGCTGCGTATGTGCGTGCACGAGCGCGCGCATGTGCCTCTCCGTTGGTTCGTTCTTACTCGATTCTTTCTAGTCGTGACGGTACGGTTAAAAAGATAGAGCTACGGGTGCAAGCACGTGCAAGTGAATTACGAAATAAATACGATGATTAACAAGCACAATGTACAATAGGCGAACAAAAGAGAAAAGAGGACGAGAAAGAAGTACAGACAATATGTACGTGTATGAGAAAAAGAGAGAGGAGTGTTAGAATGAGAGGAAGAGAGAAAAGATTGACAGATAGAGAGAGAAAGAGAGAGAAAGAAGAGAAAAGGAAAAGATTAAACGTTGATAGTTACCGTTTAATTAATTAGCTTAAAAACTTGAGATCATTTTCGTGTCTGTATATGTATTATACGCGTGTACGTGTGTATACGTGGGTCTATGCGTGAACTCCGCTCTTACACACGGAGTCTCGAGATTGTGCAGACGATTTTTACAAAGGATCGATTCGAAACTGTATATCATCGTTCGATGTTGCTTGTTGGATGGATTGTTTGGTTAGGTAAAATCTACTATGATGGCGTCGATTAATCGAACGGACGATTTTGGCCCTCTATGATGTGTAGCTATGAATGTATGTATGTACGATGTTAGTACGTATGTATGTATGTATGTATGTATGTATGTACGTATGCATGTATAAATGTATGTTTGTATGATGTGACGTATGAGGATGATGCAACAACAACGGGGTTACACGTGGTACAAAAGGAGAACGTGCGGAAAAATAAACGGCAGATCGACTATTTGATACAAGTGATCCAGCTTTGTACAAAAAAGGATCGTAGCAGGCGCGCACGTGCCGTCAGCGTACATGTTTGCCACTCCGTGTGTCGTGTGTTAAAACGTTGCGAAATATAAGAAAATAAAAAAAAAAAAAAAAAAAAAAAAAAA